ACTGAAACTACACACGAATCTAACCCCGAAAACGACCGTCAATATGTTGTTTGCTGGGTAGGTAATAAAAAAATAATAATACCGAAATCAAATACATCATATTTTTACGGAGTAGAGTACATTGTGTTTCCTTGTTCAGATGTCGTTTTAGTAATTTTTTTTTTCAGTTATTTGTTTGGTATATGGCATTCACATCCAGCAAACATTTTGAATGGTTTAAATTAACTTTTCGTATAATTTGGTATGTAATTAACGGATTTTTGCTCAAGAAAAAATCAATTAGGAACAATGATTCGTTTTTTGTGTTTTGAAATGATTGCTTACAAGCTAAAAATGTAAATACTTAGTAATGTCATTCATATTTTTTTTTTTTTTTGCAAAATGATTTCGAATACGTTTTTTTCTATAATTACTATTCGGAATACTGATTAAATTTTATTTTATCGATTAGAATTGCCCCAGGCTCGCATCAATGCCAATGTCTTGTTGAAATATTCACACCATTCGTCACGTTCTTTCTTATCATCGGCAGACAACAATTGTCTAAATAGAAAAAAAATCAGAAAATTAATGTTCGATTTCCAAAAATATGGGGTCAATAACTGTTGGGTTCAACCTACCTAACATATGAGTATTCGCCTTCTGTTCGAAGTAACATTGAGTCTTCGTCATCTTCGCGACGTCGCCGTTTCAATTCAATCATGAGTGTATTTAATCGGGCGCACATTTCACGCGGTGCCGTTGAGATTTTTTGTTGTTCACATACGCTCAAATCCAATGAGCCAATTGGTGGTTTGGAACGTTCATCATCTGGATATTTCCAGTAGCTCAAGATGTTGCCGTGCAATCGACACCAGCGACGATGCCATGCACCGAAACCGGACACATCTTCGAACATTGTCAAAAATCCTTTGTAATCGATATTTACTGTGAGTGCACAATTGATTTTCATTTGCACCGTTCCGACCAATGGCGTTATTTCGGGCGGTGATTTTTGCAATGTCCATGTATTTCGTTGCACTTCACGCAATGAAAATATGATAAAGCCATAGTATGCAAATGCCGGTGCACGTACAGCATTTGGACCGGCCGGTGATTGAATTGGTGGCATAATTAAGCACGAACCGGCTTTTTTACCTTTTGGCGTCTTAATTACACCTTTCTTTCCTTTGTGTATATGATACTTTGCATCATGCGGTATACATTCTTTTTGTGCAATCATTCCGTAAATTTCGAGCGTAATTTTAAAATCGGCATACACATTGTCCAAGTGTAATTCACCCGGAAATTTAACAGCTCTGAGTCCGGGTAATGTTGGAATAGTTTTTGTTGCAAGAACATGTTCATTATATTTCAATAAACATACCAAATGATGGCCAACAATTTTTTCTTCCGACACCTTTTTCACATAATCATCACGCAACGGCAATACAATATCTTTGATTGTTAAGCGACCGCATTCCTTCGGAGCATCAGGTGCACGTAAAAATCGTTGGGCTTTTAATCGTTCCACTTCTTCTAATAATGCTTTTCGGCTATGCGCTGCAAGAAGTTGAAGACGATGATGGTTTAGAATATTCACTCAAAACAAAACGACATTTATTTGAAGAAGAAAATAATGTCCACTTACTTGCAACTAAAAGTTTCCATTCGGCCACAACTGATTCGGCTGATCCAGAGAATTCGAGCGTCGATGCACATGTGTTCAGTGCATTGCTGGATTGAGCAATTTGTTGATTTTGAATCATAACATTTTTCATCAATGTTTTGATCTTTTGTTCTGCCAAATCTTCTTGGGATCGAAGGTATTTCGTTTCTGGTGTGATCTTTTCATCGTCATCATAAAAATCGGTGCTCTCGTCGATTGTACCATGTTCATAGGTTGGATGCGAACGATGTACCACCTTGTGAACACTTGGTGAATTTAGTACTTGTTGACGACGATAGAAACTAACGGTATGCGTCAATGTAACCGAATTATTGTCATCCGATGGATTCACTGTCAATCTGGATTTGATTGGACTTTGGAATCTTGAGCTAGTTTTACTGGTTGTTGCTTCACCTTCGAATATCGTATCATGTTGACGATTCAATGGCTTTCGCTCATAACTGAAACTGTTCGATGCAAGTGTACCATTTTCGGCCTATGACAATTCATAAATAGATATGATAAATTTGTGTTAACCCTTTTAAGATCTATTTACGAATATCCAATAATCCAGACAAATCACTTACCGCTCTGTAATTACGTTCATCTAAATCATCTTCCACATTATCAATGGCTTCATCCAAGTATTTATCAAAGCCACTCCCTTCAGATGTTGTAATTGAAGAGTCGGCATAATGAACATGACGCCCATTATCACGACGATCAGATTCAATACTCATATCTTCCTCTGAATCCATGTAACTTTAGAACGTAAAATAAATGGATAAAATAAAAAAAAAATGTTTTTATTTTTCTCAACTACAAAACGTTTTCAACTACAAAACATTCTCAACTCTTTTCAGTCACGAAACAACTATATACTCCGAAAAGAGATCGTCAGATCCAAATAAAAAATCGGCGAAAAAAAATACCTGTCCCCTTCTTCGTCTCCTTCATCTTGTGAACTGTACATGTAGCGATCCATGATGGGTTGTTCATTATCGTCATCGGTATAAGCCGGTTCGGGTGTATAATTTTCTGGTGTCATTCTTTCAGCACCCGATGACTCAATGTCAGAAAGTGCTGGATACGCATGGCCATTTCTCGGTGGATTGACTTTAATGCGTTTTACACTTTCGATACTTCTTCGAACATCTTCCGAAACAAGATGTTCATCTGTGTGAACAAAAAATAAAATAGTAGAGTTTTAAAATCGACATTTTAATTCAAAGAACATTGAGCGGCCATTATACTGACAACAGTTTTGTCACTGAATATGTAAAAAAATGCAAATAAAAAAGAGACATACCGCTCAATCGTTTCTTGCGTCCGCTCGAATTCGATTTGAATAGATTGTCTGGCATTGGTGGTGCTGGTGGCGGTGTAGCCGGTTCTTCGATGTGTTTTTGATTGAAACGATTCAAAACGACATTCATCTCATGTTCAATGTTTTTACGGCTTTCGTTGGCTATGCGAGCCTCAGCAATGGTTGCCGGTGCCGCCAATAAAGCAGCAACTGTTTGCCGTATACCAGAACCGGAAGCGGCTGATTCTGCTTTCGTTGCTTTATTAAAATTGTTAATTTTCGTTGCCGAGGCTGATGATTGTGGTGCCACGGATGTAACAATACTGCTGATTATTGGTTGCTGTGGTGTTGTAATCACCTGTTTTATATTCTCCGATGGTTTCTTATCGGCCATAATTTGTTTGACGGAAGCTGGTAAGGATATTGATGATTTTGGTATCATTGCTCCACTTTTATTTCGTTCAAATAATGCCATTCGTTCTTTCAATGACATTTCAGCTGGATCCTTTTCATTTTTCTGGATGCAATTGTTGGATGTATTTGCTGTTGCCGAGTTTGTAGCACGCGATGCGCTTGTCTCAAATAAAGCGGCACGGCCAGATACCAAACCTTTGGTAACTTCAACTTTTTTCGTTGACGGCTGTTTAGCTTCAATTTGTTTTGGCACGGCACCTTTGTTGGCCTTACCTAAGGGGAGAATCACAAAAGAAAAGAATAAAATTTGAAATAATCGATAAGTAGTCGGAAAATAATCGAAAATAATCGAAAAATAATCGTAAAACAATCAATAATAATTAATAAGTAATTTTTAAGTGATTTGCCCCTTGGCCTTACCATATGCACCGGACGGTGGTTTTAAAACATGTCGATTGTCTCGTTTGCTATCGGTTTCATCATTAAAATCAAATTCTAAACGTTTGTTGGTGGTGTCACGTCGTTTGAAACCTTGCTTTTCCAGGCTGCTCATTATACATTTATCCCAATCCAATTTTTTGGTATTGGAATTCTTATTGTGGTCCGATTCTTTGTTTTCAATTGAATCAATGCGGTTCAAAAAGGTCGCACCTCTTGTTTCGTCTTGTTTTCGTGGTGACTTTGCGGTCGATTTAATGCCACCAAACGATTTGGCATCATTTGATTTGCTTGTTGCAGCAGCAGCCACATCGTTTGCATTTGTTTTGTGTGCACGATTTCTTGATATCGAATCATCTTCCCATTCATTGTATGAATTGGCCAATTCGGCGAGTTTCTTTGATTTCTTTAACTTTGTACCGGAACGAGTTTCGTGATCTTGTTCAATGGTAAATGCAGTTTCGGTGCGATGCACCGGTGATGATAGATCCTGTGGATTTGAGTATAATGCACCCAAACGATGCAATTGATTACGAGATGAATCGCGTATGCATGACGATGGCGTTGTCACATTTTCCACAACACGTTCAACCTCTTCGATGGATGTTATTTGTTTTCGTTGCTTTTGTATTGTATTCAATACTTTACCATCACCATCCAATTCTTGTTCTTCCACCTCAACCTGTACCTAATCAAATGGAATTGTTAAAATTTTTACTTAAGCACACATACACGCGCACACTGGCAACACTTCATTTTACCTGAACGTTTGGTCCGGTTGTGATATTGATTTCGAGTGCCAAATCAACATTCTCCTTGGATGCATCGATATTTAATGCATTCTTCGTTTCGCCCAATGAATTATTGATGGTGCGCAATGCAACGGCTCGATTTTTCACCGATGGTGATGTGACCGATGATGCCTTACGTTCGGTCGATTGACGCCGTTTTGGCGATGCGGCCACCGTTTGTTTGACATTATTATCTTTCAATGGTACCTTTAAGTCACCATTTGCCAAACCAAGCTTTTTACTGCGATTCTGTGCATTCTCCAAAAATCGCTAAAATATTTGAAAAATAAATAAATATATTCAAAATTGATATTTTCAAATGTTTCACAAGAAAATTGAACTTTGATCTCAATAAAACCATAAAATGTGTAGCAGAGAATAAAACTAGGAATAAAACTTAGCAAACAATGATAGAAACGGTTCATGCAAATCAAATGCTGAAAAATGCATTTCACATTCTCTGTATTTTGTGTCCGAATTTTTATTTTCGGTCAATTTGTACCACCCGTAAAATTTATTTCCTCTTTAATCCTATTTCCAAGAAAAAAAAACACTCACTCTTGTAACATCATCCATTGTGATTTTCTCTTTTTTTGTGTCTTTTTGTTTCGCTAACAAACTACAAAATAAAATACTGTTTCAATTTATTGTTTTCACCACAAATATGCACAATTTAAATGTATGTAATTTCAATGTTTAAATTTTATTGTTGTCAATGCTTAAGCACAATTTAATTTCATCCGTTATTCATAAATTTCTTGCGATGCACGTCCGTCTTATGTTTATAGAGTACTATGAGTGTGACAATACGCGTCCTAGTAAAATCGACGTTAAATTATTTGAAATTTTCAATTTTGTACATGAACATGACGTTTGGTGGCGCTGGCGATGTATTGATTTCAATACTCTTTTCTAAACAATTGAAAATAAAAAATTATTTTTTTTATTTCAATGACAAATTCATTCATTTTGCCAAATTTTTGCAATTATTTTGTATTTTATGTAGTTTTATTTTGATTATTTAATTTTTCGGAGATATTTAACGAACTTTTTGCACTGAAGTCAACCATTTACGACAATCATACGAAATTACGATGACAATACGAAAACTTATGCTTTTGACAGTGTGAAAGGTACACCTTTTTTCTCTCTTTTACTAAAAAAAAAAACAACTTGTCGAATCGATAACACAATAATATAAACAATAAAAAAGATTTCGAAAGATTCATTCGATTTGAAATAAATATGTTATCCTCTCTGGTAAAAGAGCATCAAGTCAAACAAGCTCAGAAAAAAGAACAATTGGGTAAGAATAATTGATTTGAATTGAAATTTTTCCATTGATTTCATCATTGACTATTATTTGTAGATCAGAATCGAAAAGAGGCAATCGCAGCATCAAGTGAATTGACACAATCTCTCGTTGACCATTTGAATGTTGGGTGAGATTTTCTCTTCGGAACGATCATTTTAAACAAATTCATGCTTTTTTGTATTAAAAATATTCTTTATATCGAATATATAGGGTGGCGCAAGCATATTTAAATCAAAAACGTTTGGATGCCGAAGCCAAGCAGTTGCATACAAGCGCAACAAATTTTGCCAAACAAACACAACAATGGATGAATTTGATTGAAGGATTTAGTAGTGCGCTCAAGGTAAGAATTTAAATCAAATTAAAAAAATCATGCAAATGGATCGAAATTAAAACCAAAAACTCTATTTAAACCCCAGGAAATCGGTGATGTTGAAAATTGGGCACGCAGCATTGAAAATGACATGGTATCAATAAATGAAACGTTGAATTTAGCCTATAAAAAGAGTCGCGATACTACCACCTAAATTCGATTTATTCAACATATATATAAAAGTGATCGACACAATTCCTATAAAAATGTAAATAATAAGAGACATTGTTTTTCAATAAACTATATACATCGGGGACATTTTTCTCTGATAATAATAACGAGTTTCATCTTGAATATTTATTTGAAAAAAAAAAAAAAAAAAAATTGTTCAAAATTTAAATGCGAGTCCAAAGAAAATAAGAAGAAAAATGAAAACTGAACGCACCCGTACGAATCTATTGACACAATGCATTTAAAATTTATTACGAAAACGTATCAAACAACTACAATTACACATATGCACAAATACAAAAGAAAGCGAGCAAATGATGTTCGATATTTTGAGTGTTCACACGCATTGGTACCATTGTACAAATGTGCGGGCAAAACCATATACAGAGAGCGCGCAATCGACAATACACACAGCTGTGTACATGTTTTTCTCTCATGCACACACACACATGCACACAACAATATTTCAGTTGTATAAGTGTGTAAAATGTGTGACCGTGTGTATGTTTGACATGTCTGAATAAAGTGTTTTTTTTTTTTTGCTTCACTCTCAACGTCTTCATCCACACTACATTTCTGTCGTTTTTCCTTTTTTTCATAACACATAAATAGAACGTATTTCGATGATGTCGTGTCGTCGTGGTTGTCATTTACGTTGTTGTGTGTTATCGTAAGAAATTATAACCAGAAGAGTAAAGAAGAGAAAAAAATGAACGTGCAAAATTGTGTGAACTGGATTTGATCGTGTGGATGAACGAATTAAGAAAAGCACAGCAAATAAATTCGAAACAATTTCATTAAAAAAAAAAACAAAAAAAAAAAAAAAAAAAAAAAATAAATTTTTTTTGCATTTTTTTTAAAAAAAAAAAAAAAAAAAACATAACAAACAAAACAAGTGAGTAAGTCCAAAAACATTGATTCAGTAAGCTAAAGTGCTTCTTGAAAGTGTCGTCGAATGAGAAGAGAGAAAAAGAAAAAAAATACTGTGCGGAATAAAGGCCAATATCATTTCGAGTAAACAGTGTGCGAAGAGGAACAAAATATATATAAGAAAAAAGAGTTTTCAAAATGAAATACGATCATTACATTGTGTTCCATAGAAACGGCAATAGCAATAAATAAAGCGTTTTTATTTAAATTCTCGGGTTGGTATTTTTTCCTCCACACTCTTCTTTCATGTATGTTTTGTTGTGAACGATGCCAAAGGAATGAGATGAATTCTGAATAAAAAATTGTTTCTTTTGAAGAGAGTGAAAAATATCAACAAGCGAAAAAAAAATATTCTGTTGTGCGTCAGTGAGGACGTGAAAAAACAACAACAACAACAAAACAAAATTCTCCACTGAACAAGTGAATCGTATACAACACATACCGAAAATCGATTCAGTAAATCAATCTCGTGTAAATGCTGCGATTTAAAGACCTGCATCAAAAATATCGAAAATTATTTGTTCGACGGTGTCATTCGGCTCAATGCTATCTTAAACGAAAAAAGATTCCAATCGATTCGGTTTGGTGTGTGATTCTTGAAAATTTGTGTCATGTCTGTTTGATGCATTCAATTAAAGTAGATTTCTATGAAGTTGTTGTTTGTTTTTTTTTCTCTGCTCGTTGCACTATTTGTTCTTTTCATCTGATCGCCTTTTAAAGTAAAATAAAATAAAAAAATGACTTCGGTTTGTGCGATTGTAAAATGCTGCATAAACGATTCATATATTCATAGTGTTTAATGCGTGGTAGTTGTTATGATTGTGTGAAACATGCTTGTCTTGATGACCAAAGCTAGCTAAAAACGAAACAAATATATAAAAAAATATATCGCCTTTTCTACGTGCGCTCAAATACAAATACTTTGCATGACATCAAATGCGATTTCATTCAGCGCCCGACAGCACAAGGCGAAAAAAGACACTCATTTTAAAACAATCTATGGTCACTGTTTGTTTTTTTTTATCGTCCAAAGCTTTAAACGGCAAGGTACCATATGTATCTCTGGATTTTTTTCTTTGATGTTACCATATTCGCCCGTTTACCGAAGACAATAATTTCAATTGGTCGTTGCAACAAAAAAAAAATACCATCTAATACGAAAAAAAAAAATCCAGCTTGTGTACGAATCGGGTGTTTATGAGATAAAAGTCGATACACTTGCGGAATTGATACACACGAGAGAGAAAAAATTTAAACACAATTATAATGCATATACAGTTCATTAGGTGCATTGAATTGATTGGGGCAGTTGTTACATATTCTGTTCTTTCTTTTTTGTGAAGTTTTTCTTGTGCGCAAATTTTGTCACGGCGACGACTCAGTCATCGCGGTCAAATCAAACGTGCATAAATTTTAAACTTGATGCCAATTTTGAAAAGAATTAAAAAAAAACAGCAAGTGTAATTATATATTGCCGAATGTGGTCGACCTCAAATTCAACTCGAATGCAACAGCCTGGCAATAAAATAGCTAAGCAAAAAAAACAACAACATATAAAAATGCTCATCGCTATTATTAATAAACGTAAATTAGATAGCTGTCAACATGTATGCATCCAAGAGACAATGGTTTTCGTATTTGATTCAATGTATATTCCATGCTAATGTATGTGTGTGTGTGTGTAAAAAATCTTCCCAATTGATATTCACAGAAAACAAAACTAAACGCAAACAAATCGACAAGAATGTTATAAGAATTCTGTGTATCTTCTCCGCGATGCTTTTGTGTGAATTTAAATACTCGCGCACTTCGGTTGCTGTTTTTCTTCCTTCTCTTTCTTCTCTTCCTGCATTCTTATATGGCCGTCGTCGTCGTCGTCTACGGGTTCAGTGATAAAACAATGCTAATGTTTTCATTTTTATCGTTTTGCTCGACCGACCAAATTGACGCACACGTTCGCTCAATCAATTCACACAGGGTGCACTATATATAGACATTAAATATCATACCCATACATTTACGACAACAACAAATTCAATGTCTGACACTCGGCTAGAGGGCAGATCTCCCACAAGGCAAAAAAAACATTGCACTCTCTCACAAAGAATAGTGTGAACATACGCAAAAGAGGCGAAATAAACAAAGAATGACTACCGAGAGAACTACGAGTTAGAGATTCAACTTTCAGCCTACCAACAATCATGATGATATGATGTGATTCTTAACAAAACGGTCAAGTGTTTTTGAAGTTTTTTTTCGAGTTCCGGAGCAGTCAAATATTCGTGATTTAATTCAAAAAACTTTGTAACATTTATATACATAGGAAGTCATTGTATCAAAGCTCGATGTTTTTTTGCACTCGGTATTTCCTTCAATTTCAATTCCAACTACATATTCAATTCAGTTGAATAAATCCATTCACATACACAAAACCAAAACCGACCCATTTTATACCGTTTAACAAATCTATGGCTGTGCATTCCATATCATTGACCTAATGAATGTGAATTGTATAGGTTTGATATTAATGTATGTGAGAAAAACGAAACACATTGTGATGAAAAATCAAGACATTGCCGGATTTTCCGGGCTATAATGTCAAATAATATACATTATTTTATTCATTTATTTTATTGATTGATCAACATTGTGGGCATAGTATAGAGAATAAGAGCGATAGTTATCAATTTTAATTATTTCCATTTGACTGGAGTCATTTTTCAAATGAATTGTATTCCATTTGGACTACTAGGTTCTTACTCCTTACCTTGTGCACACGTAGATAAGGTATTTTCTCAGTCAGTATTTGCTTATCATTTGGTCTGTAAATGTTAAGTTAATTTTTGTTAAAATTTATGACTATCTGGGTTGACTCATATTATATAACCGAGAGCATGAGCAGTTCATAGTGATGATGTGGTCATTTTAAAGCATATCACAGTTGTTGTTGATTTTTATCATTATATTTTGGTTTTTGAACATGGGGCGATATTAAATGGTTTTTGGCCTGAGACGATTTTTGTTACAAACAGACACAGTGTAACAAGTGTTTTATATCATTGTATTAGTTACATACATTTTATATACACATGATAACTGAATCACTTTGACTGGAAACAATGTGAAAAAATTATTTATTTAAAAACAACAACAATGACATTTGATCGCACGCTTGCGTATGTGTGACACTGTGATTGTTATTGTTTTGTTACATGGAAATGAATTACTCATACAATCGATACATGTATATGTAAAAATACGATCGAATTGATCAATACGATGGATGAGCGTGGTTGTACAACGATATATTTATCTTGATATTTATGTAAAGAAGTAGCGCTCAACGCTGACGATTGTCCATTCGTGCATGACGAATCATGATCTCTGTTGAGTTCTCTTCCTATTTTGCACATTGTGTAAAGTTCAAACACACACACACACACACACACATATATATATATATATTTTCTCTCTCTTCACAATTTCCTCGTTCTGAAAACAATTTATTTATAAAAACTTAAGAAGATGATGTTGAGAAGAAATAAGTAGTCTCTTAGTCATTCACAGTAAAGAGAAAATTAAAAAAAAGCAATACCAATTCAAAATACAGAAGAAGAAGGAAAAATATCAACAGTAGAGGAGGAAGAAGAAGAAAAATCGGCATACAAAATTACATACAACGAAGCAGCGTAAATTGAAGAGAGCTTCGAGATAATACATAATGAAAAGATTGGAAGCCAAATGCCCAGTCGTTTTGTCGTTTATTTAGTACAGCTGGATTTGAGCCGCTTACTCATTCTCATCGTTGCTGACGCGATTTTTTGATGAACCAGAGATATCATACCGACCGAGAAAATGCCAAAATACTTGAAGCCAAAATAATGAGAACTCGCGGCTTTGTACAGCGAGAAAAAAACCACCGAACTGTTGTTGCATTTGAATATAACTCTTTTTTGTTTCGATGGGTATTTTTTTTATTTTCCTCATGAACACATACAATTTTCTCTGTATTACAACGTGAACAGAGAGAAAAAAAAGTGTGTGTGCGAGTTCCGAAACGAACCACTGGATTTTCAACACTTTCGTTTTTTACTATTCTTCTTGTATACAATATATTGTTGCTCGTTTCTTGGTTTTCTTTTTCATCGTTTCTGGATAGAAAGATTTTCCATTTCTGCAAACATGTAAATATGTGTAATTGATGAAGCGTTTCCATCGACATGAACACAATTCATTCTTTTTCTCTAATCAACACACACCACATATTATGATTATGTATGCGAATTGCTCATCTTCCTAACCGAAAAAAAAAGAAGCACCGTGCGCACTTCGGCTATTTACATAACTCAACATGAAAGAAATTTCATACTTAAAACACCAAACTAACAAGCTGAATTACCTCATGAAAAACGTGTATGCATTGCTCACTTCTGCGGTTGCCATTTATTTTATTTTAGTTTATTTTTTTCTTCACTTGCTTTCCTTCTTGAATTTTAATATAATTTAGTGGGTTTTTGTGTGTTCGTGTTTGTGTTTTTGTATAAAACCAAAACATATTGAGTCATCCAGATAATGATATCAGAGTAATGAAAATGCACCAGATTGAATCGTATTCAAAATTATTATTTATATGCATGTCGGTTAATAGTGCGGCATGCACATCACCATATATATATATTAATGCAATGCGGTTGGGTTGTGCGCACCCGGTACATCCTCTGTCTATCTCGCCCCGTCTGCCGCCCGCGACTCTATGTGCAATTGTGTTAATTTGGAATTCGTGTGTCTTGCATGAATGGGAAATCGGATATTATGCCGATGTACACGAAAAAAAAAACAGAAGTTCCGTGTGGCTCTTTTCAATATTACTCTAACACGAATTATGATAACTTGGAAAAAATTATTGGAGTTGGCCTAGCGGCAATCGAGTTTTGGCGGTTGAATACATAAATCAGTGGGAGAGAGCAGAAAGAAGGCTCTGTGCGCGAGGAGAGGTACTATCGTCACAGTACAAATCAGAAAGGCAGATAAATCAAAGTGCATTGAAACTCCTTAGCGATTGTACACTGCAATCATCGTATGCGCTAGGCACAAACACTCGTTCGTGTGTTGTTGTTTTTTTTGTTCAAGCTTGCCACTTGACTTAAATAACATGGTGATGATTACAGTTGTTGTTATTCGTTGAGCAATTCAACTTGTGATTTTTTTTATCCGTGTATTTTTTCACAACAAATTCTCGGTTTTATTTAAAACGGATTCTGCAAATTTTCACGTTTATTTTCACTTCATATTTGTCAATTGTGATGAAATGATTGCACTTTATTCATGTTTGTATGTGTAGTTTTTATGTGACTCGAATGTATGGAAGAGGAGAAAACCGCCGATAGCCAAAAATCGAAATGATCATTAGCCATATTAATGACACTCATTAAGTAAAATTACGTACCGAAAAGACAGCATGAAAACTAATTTGTTTTTAACCCAAATTCTCTGTGTCCATTTTAATTTACAGAAAAAAAAACACCCAAAAACGGCCATGGAACATTTTGTAATCAACAGAGTCTTGTAACTAATTTGAGACTGTATTTTTGTGCGGCAAAAGCAACTCATGTTCCCGTATGATTTTGTCGTCATCGTTTAAATCGATCGAATTAGATTAATCAACCGAGTGGCCGTACATGGTTAATATCACAGTGTATATTTTTTTCGTGTAAAAATCAGCATGCCGAAAGAGATTATTGCAATGTGAATATGTTATGTAATTGTAATTGAACAGATTTTTTTCAGGTTTGTTGAAATATATCAAAAATATCTATAAAAGAGACATGATTAAAATGCAACCAAATCAATAAGCTAAAAAACCATTAATCTTGGCGCTGCGCTTCACTTCGGATGGAGAATAAACCGAGTCATATCCACATTTTGACAACAAACACAGCAACAGAACCGTGTGTTTGAATGTAATATACATAAAAAATAATAAAAAAATGAATTGTGATAGAATTTTTCTTTTCTGTTCTTCTGTTTAATCGATAAGAGATGAGCGTGTTTTTGTTGTTTAAAGTGTTCAAAAGTGAAAAGTGACAAAAAAGAAAAGTCAAGCACTTCAAAAGCCGATAACTCTGACAAAAGTGAATAGAAACGTGCTCGAATCCAGAAGTTTATTATTTTCGGTCAACATTGTGTGATCGCTGCAACAACCAAAAAAAAATAAACAAAAACGTTTCAAACTTTCGAAGAAATTGTGTTGTGCCCCGTCTGACAGTGAGCGCCACAGAAAAATACAAAAAACTAAAGAAAAGAAACAACGAACAAGTGCAAGAAACAGAGAGTAACAGCATATGTGCTTGTGTGAGTGTCGCCAAGGATAACTAATTCGCGGCCGCTTGAACAGTTACATCTGTTTCATTGCAAAAATTCCGTGAATTTCGAGGTAAGTGCTGGTAGAGCGAATGAGTTCTCCATCTTCTCTCTCTCTCTCTCTCTCTCTCTCTCTCTCTCTCTTCCTCTTCATTTTCGTATATGTTCAACATTTTCACTTCATTTTTTTTGGTTTCATTCGTTTTGGAACTGTGTGTCTCGGGTCGTAAGTGCTCGTGCTCAAAATTTGTGCAGCTCTTTTATTAAATTCACTCGACTTGTTGCAAGACTTGAGAGAGCAAACCAAAAAAAATCGTGTGTCACTTTGGATATTTTAATTTCGGTGTATGTACGTTCGCTATTTTCATTGCTTTTTCCCCTTTTTTCGCTGCGGCATTCATCGACCAAATCGAGAACAAATGTTATAGTTGTTTTTTGGCAGAAACGTGTGCAGCCTACAACAATGACACTGAATCGATAAATAGAGGAAAGAGTGAGACATTCAAGTACATTTAATGCATTTTATATGTGCCGTGCTATCGGATGCGGTAGCAAAACACACATCGACGACAAAAAATAAAATTTCGATTCGTCACAATGTCAATGAATTGTCTGACAAAAGACAGACAACGTGTGTATGTATGTACATTATTATTAGTGTTTCGATTGATGTTTTACGTCGTGTTGTCATTGTCGTCGAGCAGATGTTTTAATTTAAACTCTACCTGCATGCATATTTATGTAAAACCTCTGTCCTTTGAAAGTGAATCCTTGTGCAGTCAGTGCACACATTTTTCATGAAACTTGAAGAAGGAAAGGGCAATCAAAAATAATCAAGTCTAAATTTTTCAACTCACGGACAAAGAAATATACTTAATGAGAGAAAAAAATGAAAGTTTTTTCCCAAATGCGACGATGAACTGTTGATGAAATCGAAAAAATACAAGTTTTTTTTACTAAATTTCAATTTATCGACTCAACAAATCATCAGTCAAACTCGTTAGACCGATAAAGAAAGAGTGAGAGCGAAATGATGAGAATGTGTGTAGACGCAACCGTCAAAAAATCAGCTGCAAAATCGATTCAAAAACAAAACAAATAACATTGAATAATATTTCTGTGGGTTGTCTATCTTGTGCTGCGAGATCGTCTGATATGGCCATATAATATTGAATTGCGATAAAAAAAAACCACTCAACACACAAATTACACTTTCAATGCATTGTTATTTTTATATATATAATTTCGGCTGGTGGCTTTTTGAAAATTGATGCTTGAATCACGTTGGTCAATGGATTCTTCTCCATCATTCGACGGAAACAATTGAAATAACAATAAAAAAAAACTAGAAACAGCCGTCTTGTCAGATTTTGTGCGATCTCATGTTTCTCTTTAATTCGCTTCCATCGTGAAATATGCACCAAAAAACGTACAAAACATGCTTCATTCATCTCTTTTTTTTTCATTTTACACCGAACCGCGCATCGTATCTCGTATATATTGCGTTTATTGTCTTATGGCTCTTATTGTTATGCTGGTTCTATGAATACTGGTGTTTGCAATTTTTCACTTCTTTTTACCGCTCACTTCTCATTTTCACACATACCACGTCTATTTATCTATTTTCGGTGTGCGTTTTGAATTAATTAGCGCGCGCACAAGCAAAAAACGCGACTATTATACGTTTGTTTTAATTTGTTATTTTTCATTCAGTTTTCTCGGTGATTTTCTATATCACTTTTCTGTTTTTGCAAAATGACACACTGCAAATATGCTATCATTCACATCGCAGATTTTCTTTCTCTCACTTAAATTTTTGTTTGGTAAGTTTTTTTTTGTGTTGTGTGGTATTTTGTATCGCTCTGTTTCGCATCTGTTCAGAAAGTCTTTTTTTATTTCGGTTGTGGATAATTTCTACTTTTGTTTGCGGTATACAAATTCGTATGCAATCCAGATGGTCCATGGTTTATTTTCGAATCTACAGAAAATGTGATTCAAGAAACAAACCACGAAAACCACAAAAAATTATGAACTCCATGAAATCGAAACACAAAAGACACTTGATACACAAGAAAATGTGTTATTTTGCATATTTTGCGTTAGTCACACGTTTTGGCGCGTGAGTAAACATCAAATTCCAATGAATTCGGTTTATTTTCTCTCTGTTTACCGTTTTGAGAGTGTGTCCATCAATAGACGGCAAACCAAAATTGCGGTTGAACTAATGCGTTTTTGGCTCATGCGAAATAGCGAATTGAAATCGACATTATTGCGTCAGAATGACCGTTTGTTTTGTGATCATTGCTGTATTGTTGTTGTTGTCTTTACAATTTTCATTCCAAGTTTTCTCTCACATCAAACGCGATAATTTTCAACTGTTTTTTTTCTAAAGGTCAATGCAGAAGGTTATATCATATATATTAAAACCAGTCTGCACCGGTCGCCAGTCAACTTTCTGGCCGCTGGTAGACAATGTCATCGGAATCACATGCTTCCTTTTCTCACTGCCACAAATGTGAACCGTTCGCATATGTACGCATCAACATCACAATTTAATCATGAACGCAAAAGAGTCTGTTTTTTTTCTATCTATTTGTTAATAGATCGATGGGGTCAATTTGGTATGCAATCAATTCTCCAAAAGAAAACATTGAGGCTTAACAACGGAAACACAAATTTTTGTTGTTCTTCGTTTTACTGTTAAAGCGGGAAAAAGATATGTGCCAAAGTATTTTAATTATGTTGATTAACGTTGGTTGTTGTTCGGTGAAGCGAATACAAAAAATATTCAATTAAATGCAAAGCAGGAAGAAGATCGTTCAATTGAGCTGAAAGTTTGTCGCGATAAAAGCAAATGAGTGTGGTTTTTTTTTTTGAAGCTTGGAAAAATAAATGAAGTGTGTTTAGAAATTGGCATTTGAAATGCGAATTGAAAGAAAATATTTGAAAGGAGGGAAGAAAAAAACAATCGAATGAACAAACAAAAAAGCAGCAAAGCGAAGTGTTGATATCTATTATTATCATTCTATCGCGTGCAATAATTTCTTCAAATGTTTTTTTTTCTAACAAGCACATTGCCATTATCATTTTTGGTTAATTGATACCACGCGACATTGGAAAAGATAGAGTAGAAAAAACAACAACGACAACAACTGATTGAGGCCAAACTGGACTTGCCTATCTTATCGTTTGATTTTATTTATCGGTAAATTAAAAGCTGTCGAACGACCATCACAAGTGCTTCGAGCTAACAAGTGAATGGGAGAAAGAGAAAGAGAAATGGGAAAACGGGGAGACAGCGATACTCAGAGCAATACAAACGTAATTTAATGGCATCGAGAAATTCCGATGACTAATCATTCTGAGTTGCACCCAATGGAACCGCTCATCTCATGTTCGGTTGTGATGAATACGATTCTCATCGATTGCGAATTTTTCCTCATCGATGATAAAATATGTCAACGATTTCGAAGTCGTTCTCGTTGTGTGTATGTTTGATGTGCTGCTGTCGTATTTGATGCGATTTTTATATCTTTCCATACGACATCATAATCAGCATCAACCGAATGAGAACGCAAACCATATACACACACACGGTAAATGCGAGCACTTGCTGGCTTGTAATTAACATTCTGGATCGTGTTCGAATTCCGTCACATTTAAATCAACCAATTTTTGATTTGTATCTCTTTTTTTCTTCTTCTTCTTCTTCCTTTCATTTGTTTGTGACATTTCGAAATTTTGTGGTGCAGCCAAAGTGAAAAATTATTTGCATTTCAAAATAATTATAAGCCGAATATTGCGTTAAACATATATTTTGCTACATGCTACGACAACGCCATCTCTGTTTCCCCATGTGTGTAGAGTATGTTCAATATTGACGTATCATTCAAACGTGTCAATTTTGTACCGCAAAAATAGCTGTCATCGTGAAAATATGTCAACAATATTATTCATTGAAATTTTTGAAATTGACTGTGCCGTGTTTATTTTTTAAAACAATTTTCAAATGCATATTTCTGTAAATCTCATTTCAACGTTTTGAAATATTTGTACAATTCTACATGAATAATATTTTAAATTTTTTAAACTGAAATGAAATTTTCAGCATAGAAACAGCTTCTGCTGCAAGACCAAAGATGTCGTTTTCGGGGGAGATTCGTGTGACGTTTTCATATAAAACATATAGCGCATTACTCGGTTAATAATTATTATGTTATTTTCTCGGGCTCGATTCTAAATCACCGCATGTATTCAAGTAACTTTCTTTTTTCGATTTTCTTCAAAAAAAAGTGCGATAGTTGAGAAAGATATTTTGTGTTTCGTTTCAAATCTCTTTTTGTAGCCGGTGTTGCTGCAATCTTTCGGTAAATAGTATGCGTGTGTATGTAAAGGTCATGTTGTTTTGCATGAGCCATTTCATTTATGCACTCGGCTAAAATGCATCGCATTCAGATAATTTTTTGGTGAATCGCGCGCGCACGCGCTCACGTCATACCGAAAAAAAGACTACAAAGTCGAACACTGCATATATGAACTTTTGTTTATGTGTTTCTTTCACTTTATTTCAATCATGTTCCTGTTGTACTTGAGCCACTTTTGCGGTATTTAATTGTCTTTTTTCTGTGTGCTGTTTCGCTCAGTTTCACATCGCAAATGTGGTCGAATGTGTGTGTGTGGATCGAGTGGGCAAGCACCGCGTAAATCATCATTGTTGCAAACAACATTACGGATTTGTGTATATTTTTTTTCGCTTTGGCGAGAAATGTGGAATGAAGAGAATTTCTTTCTCGCAACTTAACACGCAATCACAGTGCCAAAGTTGACTTTCTTGCCCACTGATTCGGATTAATTCTCTTTCTCTCTCTCTTTCTCTGATTCTGGTGGTCTGTTTTGTGTTCAATTGTGTGTACGTTCGAAAATATGATTCAGAGCTAACAAACATCACCCATGTACACCACGGATTTCCAGCAGCAACACGAACACGAAAAAAATGATGCAGCTACTTTCAATAAGTGGGGTATCAATTGACTCTTTTGGCTTAAAAACCATACATAGAATCGATGTAATTTC